CAACATAGTCAGTCTTACAATAATAAGCCAAAAATACAATCTATATATCAAGCTTGCGACGAACGTTTCCCTTGTTGAGTGTGATAATTTTCATCATTTGAAGAAAAATATGATAATGGCGCATAAAAAAGGATAATAATCACTCAAAAAATAAAGAAAGCACGTTGATCTCAGCCCGTATATTATCGCGACGAATTTTACAATTTTACACATAATTATAATTGTATCACGTTTGTGAAATCGTAGGTGCTACATTCTCTCTTTCTTGGATGTTGCTATTTTCTTTCTTTCTTTCTTTTTGTTCTCTCACTCTTTCTTTCTTTCTCTCGAGATAAAATATAACGCATTGCGCCCTGTCCAACGAAATTTGTTTAAATAATACAAGACCTATGTCTGATGAACCCCTTATTGTTTATTATATATGAACAGTTCAAAGAACAAATTATTATTAATTTAACATAGACGATTTCTATGTTCTTTTTGTTTTTCAATTTTCTTTTTCGAAGGACTATGCTCGACAACAAATTTTCTATAGTCCTGACTTACGTATTAGTGTTTAGAAATAGTATCTAAATACATATACGAAATGATGACAATTTTATAAGAATATCTAAAAAGAAGAAATTTACAAGTGACTCTACGATGAAAAAATGGAAGCAGATTACCGATTAATCCATGTTCGGTTATCTGCTTTCAAATGTGCATATTCTTTGCATTTCTAACCAATTAATTCCAACTACTCTCTATTGTTTTTTCTAACTTTAACTTGCGCTCGATTATAGTTCCGAAGAATCTTTTAAAAGATATAAAAAAAAAAGGCAAGAAAAAAATAAATAAAAGAGATGTGATAAATGAAATTTCTAATGTCGTTCTTCGGATCGATAAAACAATCGAGCGCAAGTCGCAAGAGAAGACAGATCTTGTTCATAATTCCCGCGTATTTTCAAATAGAGAATTATGAACGACATCTAGCGAAATGCTTCTAAAGCTTCGCGAAACGTAACTGCTGCTTTGCTTAGCCCAATCTGAGGACTCTTAATAAAACGCGCGAAATTCGTATGTAGGCTCCGCTATTATATCCCAATTACCGTTCGTTCTTTCACAATTCTCGCAACAAACATTGTAATTACTAGATTACAATTTATTATTGTTACCACTAATCGAAAAAGTCTCTTTTTGTTAGATTCTCTGTTTTTATTCAGTTAGGAGAGGGGGGTTCCTCAGTGTGCCACTAAACAACACTCGCATTTAGACGTTCTCTCTTGTAACATAGAGACCCTAAACTCTAAAATCAAATAGGGCAGGAAAAACCATCGATACAAATATATATAGATATATTATAATATAATAGAGTTATTTGATTAAACATTTAAAGCCTTACGTAAAATATACAATGTGATGTGTGTATTCGTCATACGTCTTTTTCTTTTTTTTTTTTTTCCTTTTTTTCTATGCGATAATATTACGAAACGGATGTAAAAGATGTATTTCTTTTCTCTTCATTCTCTTTTTTTTTTTTTCTTCTTCTTCATAAAAGATGTTCAACTATTTTTGCACCCTCATTTCAAGTTTCTTCTTACCTATCTTTCTTTTCTCTTACAATTTTTTTGTTTCATCCCTAATCGATACACACTTTTTTTTATTTTTAAATTTTATTTTCTCACGAGTAATGGTAATAAATTGATAATATATAATTTATATGATGTAATTTTGGACCAAGAGATTCTTTTGATACGGCAGTATTGATAATAATAGAATTGATTTTTTTTCCCTTCCTTTCTTTCGTTTTTTTTCCCTTCTTTTCTTCGAGTCATTATTTTACGCTTTCCTATTTTCTAGCAATGAAAGTCGGAACAAATATCCTCGGTATATTATAAACTCGTAGTTTTCCGATAGCGATTAGTATAATACGGATTATCTCGGTATACAGTTTATTAGTATCAAATCCTAGGAGCGGAACCAAACCCCCAATCAAGTTGAAAATTGTGGTGGTTCGAAAACGCTTCGGAAAGATATGCATGTATATTTTTTTTTTTTTTTACTTTTTATTTACTTTTTTCCCCCTTTTATTTTTTCTTTCATCAAACGTGTTCCTTTTGCATTTATTTTTGTTTGTTTTTTCTTTTTTTCTTTTCACAATTAGAGAAACTTCTCGACGAACTTAACTTTTCCTTTCTTTTCCTTTTCTTTTTTTCACTTCGGGGTAATACCATTACGAGGATTTTATTATTTTTTTTTTTTTTTATTTTGTAATAGATTTTTACTATAGCAAGTATCCCTTACGTAAAACATTAAAGGCCGTACGTTTCGTTAAATAAAAGCAAAAGCTTGGCTATGATTTTAAAAGCTTTTCCAGAGAAGCTTTTACACAGGATCGACATTTTTAAATTATACATTAATCTATTCTTTTTTTTTTTGTTTCCATGAACGTTTTTTTCTTTTTTTGTACAGAGATTTAAAAGAAAAAAAAAAACAAAAACATAAATCCATGCTTTTATTTCTCTCTATCGCTTTCTCTCTCTCTCTCTCTCTCTCGTTCGAAGAAATGTCTCTCTTTATCTTTTTCCATCTCTATAATTCTATTTCTCATTTTGACGAATACGTCGTCCTTTTTTTTTCTTTTTTAACAGGCGCGCGAATAACGGCAATAAAAATTTTTTTCACTAAAAATCTATTTGAAAAAAAAAAAACGAAAAGAAACACCAAAAAGAAAAAACAACGATAAACAATAAAAAAAAATTCTACAATGTTTTCTAATCGTTTGCAAAGTAATTAGACAAAAAAAAAACCTACAATTGAAATATTTGCACATAAAATACAATGAAGTGCAGTATCATCATCTTTTCCAAACTAATTTTTTCCCTTTTCGTATTTTTATCGTGTGTTGTTGCTATTGTTGTTGGTCGTGTAGTTATTTTTTTTTATTGCATATTATAAAGAAGTTTCTTTTTTTATTTTTATTTGTTTGTTTCTTTTTCTTTTTTTTTTACTTCATCTTATTAAATATAAATCGAGAAATTTCTAGTTAGCAATTAACATTCTGGATATTTAATCTAAATTAAGTATTGATAATACAATACTCAACTCCATCATGTATTGGTACAAAAACTACATATTCCGACTGATACGAATGAAATTGATGAAAGGCAACTTCTAAGTCCTCCTTTTCCGATACTTTATAAAGAGCTTTAGAGCTCGGATTGATTGATTGATTGATCTGTGTGTTATTTTCGTTTTTTCAAAAACGCAGGCATATTATTTAAAAATTATTATCAAAAATAGGTCGTTGAAAAATCGTTGCAAAAGTTACACAATTTATTTTGAAAAATGATTTATGCGATCTCGTATTTTTTTTCTTTCTTTCTTTTATTTAATTAATTAATTAATTATAATTAATCAATTAATTATTTACTTCTTTTTATTTTCTTTTTTTCTTTTCATTTTTATTTTTTTTTTATTATATTACTTTTTATTTTCCGGTAGCAGTCGATTTGATTATTTATTTGGTTGCATCAGCGGATAATATTAGCAAATATTTCCAGACATTATCAAAATTTAATAATCTTTCGTTTACAAATATATTCAGACAGTCGTGCACTTTCGTTTATCAATAAATAATCATGGTATAAATCCTTAAGCCGTAATTAAAAGATGATAAATAGTTTTCTTATTTTTTTTTCTTCTTTCTTTCATTCTTATCCTTCCATTTCTTCTTTACAAATACATATTTTTATTATGGTCAATTGAATAAAATTGGAGTAAAAAATTCGCATTTAACATATTAATTAACTCCGTGCAGTACTATTTTTATATTTCAATGTAATTTCATCATATATAGGTCTCTCGAACAAACGAACGAACGAACGAAAATGAACGAGAATAAATAAAACATATTTTTCATCGTTAAATTATAAAATACAATTAAAATAAAAAATGTATACATATATATATATAGCGTTAAAAATCAGAATATAGAATAATAGATGATTATAAAATACAATGGCTGACTATTTTATATATTATATCATTTCTTAGAGACAGCCCATATATTAATACACGACGTAAGATTAGAATTATTAATGTTATTTTAATGAATTCCATTTGTATTATTATTATAACTATTGAGAGAGAGACCTGGAATATTTTGGTAAGTACGCATAAAATACATTACACGGACATACTAAAATAATCACAGAGATGATGATTATTGTTTAGGTTGTCATCAAACGACCCAGATTATTTCTTCTCATCGCGAGTAACTAATTGCTACTTTGTGCTGTACGAACTTAATTGTTCGGCCAGTTTTAAAAAAGATAAAGATAATATATCTAGCAATTGTAAACTACTAGTGGACCGCGTCAAAATGATATTTCTATTTTTGTTGTTCCCATTTTATACTTTTGTTTTGTATCTTCCAATATAATTAGTTGATTGTTGACGTTTCTGTTATCAGTTATTAGTCTTTTATGAACTTTCAATGTTTAATAGAGCAGATATATATGTATGTATATATATATATATATATTAAGCAGAGTCTTTCTTTTTTTTATTTTATTTAAAATTAATTAAAAAACCAAACAAACAAAAACACCCCCCCAAAAAAAAAGAAAGAAAAGGAATAATGCAAAAATAACTTTCGTGTCTGCCATTTCGAGCGTAACTTATTCAAGATCACTTACCTAAAACTATTACAATGAAAATTGATAATGTCCGACGATTCGTTAACAACTTACAGCTACGATCGATCCGTTTCTTTAATCGAGAAAATGTAATCTTTTTTTTATCTAAAAGTCTTGGACTCGAGAATCATGACTTCCGATTACGTAATATCGTTTCATAAAACTGCATGCAAGTAATTATAGAAGTCGAATTAATATTGTATTACTTTTTTTTTTTTTTCGTTTTCTTTTTCTTTCTTTCTTTTTCTTTTTTTTTTTTCGTCAGACAGTAACAATATGGGATTTTTTTTTTTTCTTGAGATATCATGATGAAAGTTCTTGTTTCTTATAGATGACAATTTTTTTTTTGTTGGGTTTTTTTTTTTATATTATTACGATTACCTAGCGCTGACAATTCAGCTAGATTCTTTTTCCTTCGAGTCTGAAAAAATAAAAGTAAAGGAATGAATGATAATACAGGTTTTCGTTGAGTTCTTTTGAGATTGTTGGTCAAATTTGTTTGGGGAAAAAAAATAAATTTCAATTTTTTACTTACCACTGTCAGACTTATCCTCGGATGTTCCGTTTGTCAGTTCAGGCTCTTTTTTCTTTTCACCTTCCTCGGATTCCACGCTAAATGCTTTCTTCTCTTCTTGATTGGTAGCTTTTTTGTCCTTTGCTTTTCCTTTCGCTGGTGTAGCTGGTTTTGGTTTGGGTTCCAAACTAGGATCCAATACGATTTTTCCAATATTCTTTCGATCGTGCATCTTTTGCATAGCCTCAGGCACATCCTCAAGAGCCCATGTTGAATCCATAACTGGCTTTATTTTACCCTCGCTCCACAATGCGAATACTTGATTAACAGCTCGACGTACATACGCATGACCACCATGTTGATACATTAAATGACGAAGATTTAAACCTGACAACGTTTTGTTTTCGTCGAATAACTTTATGGGAGAAACTTTGTCTACTTGCCACCACTGTGTAAACAAAAAATAAATCAATACATTTGTTACAAATTTCATTTAAAATCTTTTAAAATGAAATTTTTCAATAATATATTACAAACCGATCGTGCCGCGGAAAAGAAGCTTTTTGTTTCGCCTGTTACAACGTTACTTGAACCATAAAGAATGTATTTTCCCATAGGTTTCAATAGAGCATATCCTTTGTTACATTCTTCACCGCATAAACAATCCAATACTATATCTACGCCTTCCGATGAGATTCTGTAGAAGACATAATACATATATAATATTTTTTTAGTTTCTAAAAAGTATTTATCATTTTTTCTTTTGATCATTTATTATTTCGTATAGATATACTCTTACTTTCTGACTTCGTTACTATAATCCGTTCCTCGTTCTAACAAATGATCTATAGTACCAGAGGATTTAAGAGCTTCGTGTTTTGACTTGCTACAGACACCAAAAATAGTCACATCTTTTACGGTCTTAGCGAGTTGGATTACGGCTTGACCCTACAAAATTTAATCATTATAAAATCGATTAGTGATTTTAGTCTGGAGAAAAAAAATGATTTAAATTAAGTCATTAAATACAAATATTTTGTTCTAAACACTTGGAAAACGAAATAATGAATTGATGAAATGAGAATAAGGAACGGTCAATAAAATATTTTTAGTTAAGCTGTTTCAGGTTTTCTCAACAGAAGAAGCATTCATTATTTCCAAGAATCGAGGAGAGTTCTTCTTCGTTTTCTGTTGCTCTCCGCCCTTCTCGAGAATTCGATACCCGACAACCGATGCGAGAGCCGAAGAACGAACCGAGGCCAAGGGACTTGAGGAAGAACGAACAAGGAAAAAAAAAAAAGAAAAAAGAAAGAAAAAAAAAAGAAAGATAGAGAGAGAGAGAGAGAGAGAGAGAGAGAGAGAGAGAGAGAGAAAACCAGAGAAAGGAAAAGAAGAGAAGGAGATAACCCACAACCCAGAATTTTAAGTAGCCTGCTGCTCTCAATTGCGCATCACCGGTCAACCCCATAAAAGTATTCATTAAAATAAAAGGATGTTTTCTTCGTAATATTTTGAAAAAATGTCCAATTGTAGAGAGAGAGTGATATATATTAGGATATAATTTAAAAAAAATAATAATAAAATAAAATAAAATAAATTTTTATTAAAATTATTAACGTTATATATATATATATATAAAAAAATGTAGATAATACTATGAATAAAAAAGAATCGAAATATTTTTGTTATTAGCGATAATATAAAATTCTCCTTTACGTGGGATAAATTCTACGAGTTTTTTTTTTTAAGACGAATTTCGTTAAAGGGAAAATGAATAAATGACTTTTCAATTACTCGTGTAGTTGGACTAGAATGAAAAAGGTAAGGAAAGGAAAGGAAAGAAAGAAGGAAGGGCATGTTGTACACGTGGATGGTAAAAGCGTTGTGAAGGAGGCTTAACAGTAACACGTGGTGCGGTAGTGGTGGTGCGGTCTCAGACGGGCGCGGCCCACGACAGTGGTCGATGAGAGAGCGAAGGGTTGCCAAGCAACCCTCACACCCCGTACGCGATCTCGACCAGCATCCCCCATAGATTTCACCTTCTCGACTTCTAGCGGTACACGACGACTACCTACTACCACTACCACCACCACAACCACCACCACCACCACCACCTACCACCACCCACACTGTAGTAGTTGGCCTCAGGTATAACCTGTTGAGTCGTATTGATCCCGACGTTTCTATCCTCTTCTTTCTTAATGTCTACAGCTAGAAGAGCTACAGAGAAAGAGAGATAGAGACCCAGATAGAAGGTGGGGTGGAAAACTATCAGGATTGCAAGGAGGATTAAATTTACTTATATATATATTATTTTCCCTTTTTAAATATTGGCCTTTAGTCCCTCCCACCCCTCTCTCTTTATCTATAAGCTTCTATTTGTATGTTCAAATAAAGAAGAAAGCATTTTATATAAATATATTGTTTTCATTTACAAAAGTTTAATGGTCAGGAAATTCATTGTCATTGTATACTGGGTTAATCAAAGTTTTCCAAAACTTGACAGAGCACATCTTCTACACGAAAACGATAACGATAATAATGAAATACTTACTACGCCACCACCAGCACTGTGCAACAAAAGTGACTTTCCAGGAGCGAGATTGGCCAATTCAAAGAGCAGGATGTAAGCTACGGTGTAATTCATAGTAACGGCAGCAGCATCCAAATAACTCATGCCTGGTGGCAATGCAAAAACAGACGTAGCAGGGACAGCTACTAATTCGGCCCATGCTTTATGATCAGGTAGAGCAACTACTCTGTCACCAACCTGAAAGAAAGATAGAAGTGATAATAGTTTTGTGCATATATTACTAGCACGATAATCTTGTACTAGGCAATATATACATATGCATACGTAATATGTATTATTAAATATTAGAAGAAAAAGAAAAAAGGGGAAAGAAAGAAAGGAAAAAAGAAAAAAATAAACTTACTTTAAAATTCTCAACTCCCTCGCCAACTTGTTCGATATCTCCGGCACACTCTGAGCCCATAATGAAGGGTGTCTTTGGGGGCGAATCGATTGCACCTTGCCGTGCCATTAAATCTTGGAAGTTCAGACCACTGTAACCAAGTACAATTACGCCTTAAGATTGGGGTAAAGAAATGATTATCCATCCCTTTTCAATGGGGTCAATAAGATTTGCTTTTTCCTTTTTTCAATATTTCTTTAAACCCTTTGATTGTGTAATACTTTTGTTTATAGTATGAATTTTGTCAATTTACTGATAGATTATATAGCGCACAATCAAGTTATTATTATTATATATGACTAATCGAAATAATACTATTTTATGAAAAATGATTAAATTTGTAAGTGTATGGATGTAAATGAAAAAAAATCACTGGATGCACATACATATATATGTCCATAACAGCGTTAAGGGATTAAATTAGAATATTAAATATTTATTGTTATAATGTATTGATAGAAAATACGTGTAGAAAATACAAAAGAAGAATAAATAAGAATAATTCCAAAATTTGAAATAAAAAGTGTTAAAAAGTCAGAATGCGCTGTCTCATAAACGTGATACGTAAACGTAATAGTAATAGTAGTAGTATTAGTAGTAATAGTAACAAAAATAATTGTAATATAATAATAGTATTAGTATCAGTAGTAGCAGAAGTAGCTGTAATAGTAGTAGAAGTGTACCATCATCATCATCATCATCGTTTCACCACGTGAAACACACCACCACGCTATGTAGTTTCGACAAAAGAACGAAGGGTAGTATATACCAAAGGCGCCAGGATGCCTAGACCGACGCCTGGCGTCTCACGCAACTTGGACGACGTTTTACTTGCTCCCTAAGTTGACTACTAACTATACTGCGACTATCGAACGAACTACGGTTATATGTTTAAAGGAAAGATACGCATTGCCAGGGAAATAAATAAATAATGCGACACTTCTTGACCGGTTCCACGCTACTATTCATTCTACGTTATCTACATGCTTGGAATTAAATTATGATATATTTTTTTTTCTTTCCTTACGTACAATCCTAATATCTACAAGTTTTACTTTTACGCACGTACGCATGTAATACACGTACGATAATAGAAACCTTATTTTTTCTTTTTAATTTCTTGTCATTTTAATTGAATATTTATTTGAAGATGGAGGGGTAAAGATCGCAGAAATTACAAATGGTTGTTCTTGTATTTTGCTGATATTTCTTTTTTTATCTGATGTAACATTATTCATTTTCCTTTTGAATTAGAGTCAATCTCACGGGGAAGGATTTTAACAATAGCACATTAAATTTAACAAATATTTTTATTTTAGGAATATATTAAACAAAAAGGGTTAACCGTTTGATATGTTAATAATAATATGAATGAAAATGTTTGTAGAATTTTTGTCATAATAAAACCCATCGGAAGGATCTTCCTTTGAAAGGAACGAACGGATGGGATGGTGAAGTCCTTTTTTAGAAAAACAATGGGGAATTTATTCTTTCGTAATTCGTTGTTTGAATTAGAGACACAGTAATAGAAGAAAAAGAAAAAGAAAAAGAAGAAGATGGTTACAAAAGAACGGAAGTATTCCTCAACCTAATAAGATAATACGATGACGATTTAATATAATGAAATTCCATTGAACGTTTCGACCTAATTGTCACCATTATCGTTAGCAACAAAATAGATAAGAGTAAATAATTTTCAAACTGTTCCCCTTACACGACGAGACCCCCATACTTAAATGTGGTTTCTAAATCATTTCATGACAATTAATATATATATATACGGAATAACGAATAAGCAAATGTTTTTGAAAAACGTATAGAAAAATATATATTCATAAATAATATATAATATACGTAAAATTGATTTGTAGTTTTCGGAAATAATTTCCCTCGTTGTTCTTGGTAAAAACGATCGAATTGTATTTAGAAACAGCATGACGACTGCGACGATGACGTCACATCGACGTTAACGATGACGCATACACTGCATGCATTGCACACACCACCACCACCACCACCACCACCACCACCACCACCACCACCGTTAAGGGAGGGTAGGGTCATAGTTACACATATCGTTCCTTCCTTTCAATATTCTCTAACCCTCGGAGTTAAACGTCGTAAATAAGTTAACTATCTATAACTCAATTTATTTTAATGCTTAGAGATGATAGCATTTTTCATGAGTTAATTATTATTAATTATATTTATTTCTTAGAATTATGAAAATTACTGTTTTTAATATGAACATTTGTAATATAGAGACTTGAAACAAAATAATAGTAAAAAAAAAATAATATAAAGAGAGAATAAAAATAATTAATTAAATAACAATCAATTTTTATTATACAGAATCATGTTTTTTTTTTTAGTTTACTGACTAACACTATAAAAAAAAAAAATAAATGATTTGTGTAACCACTAAAATGTATTCCATTTGAACGATATAACTTGTTAGTTCTACAAAAGAAATTCTCATAAAAAACTATACATAACGCAGATATCAAACTGTTCCGATTTAAATACCCCGCCCTATATATACATATATATGTATATACTTCAGTGAGAGTGACTTTAAAATTACATAGCGTTATAAAAAGTTTAATCATTATCATTTATCTTCATATATATGGCTTTTAAAATAAAAATGGAACATTCTTTTAATTTTGATCTAACGATAATGAAAATAACTTGTGTATGCCTTTTTTACCCCACAAGTTACGAGTATTATATTTTTTTCTTTTTTACGTTTTATGTTCGCATGCCTATACGATACATGCCATATATAAATAAATATATAAATATATATATATATATAGAAATACGAAGAGACAATCTTATTTATATCGATCGATCAACGAAGAAGACACTCGGGCGCCAGTAAAGTCATAAAACGAAATCAAATGCGCGAATCTCGCGTGACTCGATGAGAGAAAGAGCCGACAATTAGGGGGACCCCGACAAAAAAAATTGTTGGTGTATGCACGTGCCCTCTTACCTCCTCTACCTCTACCTCCTCCTTCTCCTCCCCCTTCACCTCCTCCCTATCCCCCTGTTATTATTACGTACGATTCCGTTGGGATTATCTTTGGGGAAAGAAAGGAAAAGAACGAAAAAAAAAAAAATGTATTTAATCGACCAAGTCATACGCATCCCCCTTCGAAATGTAATTGGGATGAAGGGGAGTGACGAGAGGGGTATGGGGATTTTATTATTCGTTCCTGGAACGAAATGCATTAGATTATCCCTGTTATTATATATTCTTATATACGCGGAGGAGACACACAACACCACTGTGTGATCATACTTTAATTATTTATTTCAATTATCGTTATCTATAACGATTTTCACGAAGGTCGGGGCCTAACGTTTTATTGTTATAATATACTTCTGTTTCCTTTTTTTTTTTTTTTTTTTTGTAAGTATTTTAAACAGATGACACGAGGATATTTTTTGTATAACAGGGCGCAAAGTTTCGTCGGTTGTATTATTTAAATAGTTGTTTACTTGTTCTTTTTCTTTCTTTTTTTTTTTTCTTTACTTTAAAATACGTTCTTATCGGTACTTTTTTAAATTATTCGATTGAGTTGAACAATTGTTTCTTTTTTCCGTATTTTTTCCGGGTAAATGATGATTTTTCGTCAAATCGCATAACTTTTATATTATTCATTGTATCTGATAATATTTATATGTGTGTGTGTGTAAGTTGGAAAGATGACAAATCGTAGAATAATTATAATAACATTTGTAAGATTCATTAATGCAGTTAAAAGTTATCGCGTTTTTAATATGAGAATGATAAAGATGAAAAGAATTCGATATAGAGCTTGAAATTTTGTTTAAAACTAAAGTTGAAAGAATGCGACTCGGGTTGATAAGAAAAATAATTTTTAATGTGTTAAAAAAGCTCAATCAAACGTTTTCAATTTGAAAATTTTGATATCAAAGATGCACCTAGTTCTGGTCATTCGTTTATCGAAAAAGTTTATGAAATAATGACAACAAAATTTGAACAAGAAAGGCACATTATTAATTACGATATTGTTAAGAAATTAACTATCGATAGTAAAACAATTTGATGAATAATAACTTTTTTATTCCTCTTTGTTTAATATCGTTAATATAAAATCATATACTTGGTGAGAAATATTTGAACGATTTAAAGAATCCTGTTAATGGTTATTGTTAAAATATCTCACGTTTCACATTCGAATATTATCGACCAAAAAATATAAAATATTTCTAAAGACAAAAGAAAAAAAAAAAAAGAAAAAAAAAAAGACGTTGTTTCAACTAGTGAAAACATTTTAATTGATAACACGTCTAGCGTGTGTACAGTCTCACACGTTTACATCTCCGGAATATATTGTCATGTGTAGACATAAATGAGTAACCGACCGCATAATGCAAACTTTTGTCGTCAAACTTTTTAAACACCAGTGTTCAACGTTAATCGTTGGAAACGTTCTTATAATGATATTATTATTATATGTATATTATTTTATATTAAATTTGTTCGGAAAATTCATGTATATCATAAAACATATCTATGTGTGAATAAGAATTTGGAAATATTATATTAGAAGAAAATATTGATGGTTTTTAATTGAAGATATTGGGGTGACTCTCTCTGTATAGAATAAGGGAACTTGGAAAGAAAAATAATTGAACACATTTTATATTTTTGGATTCAGGAATTAATGAACGATCCAAGAAAAAAAAATTAAAGGAACGATAGAAAAATAAAAAGAAAACAGGTTAAACATTTATGCGATTCGTCGTCTAATGCATAAATATCGACGATAGCGCAGGTGTATTTTAAAAGTATAAAAAAGAAAAAAAAAAAAAAAAAAAGAAAAGAAAAGTTTGTCGTTTGATTTGAAACGAAGGAAAATTTATACAATTAACGATTCAAATGAAGAAACTTTTTTTGNCGTCTAATGCATAAATATCGACGATAGCGCAGGTGTATTTTAAAAGTATAAAAAAGAAAAAAAAAAAAAAAAAAATAAAAGTTGAAAAATACAAAATAAGGTTGGTTGGACGTAAGAGGAGAAAACCTCGCGATAAGAATTATCGACTCGATATTAA